GATTTAATAAAACCCACTGATATATATCATTTTTTGAAAGATATTCAATTCATATATATAAATAATTATAAGCTTTAAATGGTAAAAAAAAAAAAGGGATCTGATGAACCAAACAAAAGAAACAGATTTATGGAAAAAATTTGATGAACTTGAGAGTTTATATGTTGATTTTATGAGATTTATGGTGAATTTATTTATTTGAATTTGAGGAAGAGGTTACATGCATTGTTTCAGATAAACATGGCGGAAACAGAACTGAACTTTCTTCAGGGTATTGAGTTTTTATTTAATGTTATCATTATTTTAAATACTCAATGTCCAACCTGTCACTAATTAAATACTAGTAAGATACAGACATAATTTGAGGTTCGAGGAGAAGAATGATATACCTTAATTAGTGGAACTAGATTCTTTGGTTCACGTGGAAAATAGAGAAAAACAAATTATTTGCCTTTCCAATACAATTTAATAATCTATCTATATTAATTAAGACCTTAATTTTTCATTTTATACAAAAAGGTAGTTTTCATTATGAAACATAATAGTATGAAACATAATAGTATGAGTGTATAACTAATACAGTAACATTCATGAATTTAGAACATTACAAAATTTGGCAAGCCAAAAAACCATTTGTGTAGTGTTAGTTTTGGTAAATTGTACTAGCAAAATGTAACTTCACAATTCATTTATAATAATTTGTGTACTTTAATACTTTTGTTTGTCTCATGATTGTCTAATAAAAAAATGATTGTGAACAGTGTACTATATGGGACAATGTACCACGTGTACGGTATATAACCACCGGTCAATTTAATTTGAAAACTTGGAATTTTATTGGAATTTAAATAATCCAACTGAAACAAACGCATGGCTCAAATCAAAAGTCATATCTATTTAAATCCATGTGAATAATAATCTATTTCAAACTGAGACGACGTAGTTTGAATGGACGGGTAATGTATATGGAAGAAAGAAAACTATAGCAATTTGTATCATAAACATAAAATAATCAACTCTAGTGAACTTTTGTAATTTGTTGGGAAATTTGTTAATGATCATTAACTAAGTTATAATCAAAACATATCAACGCAGAATCATGGGCCATATAGTTTCCACAAATGGCCTAATCTCCATAATGTTATAAAGCCCAATATTACAAATAAACCACCTTTTTCGGTGTATAGACCGAAAATTTTACAAAAGCAAATGAATCATCAAACATTCTCAATGTCACACAAAAGGAAAATTTTACATAATATCATGCAGATCTTCCACTAAGGTAAATCTTCTTTTTCCAAATCCTAAACTCAAAAACAAAAACTAAATTTACTATCCATGGATTTTTAACATATAAACTATATTTCATTTCAATTTTATTGATTTCTAACTAAAAACCGATCATGAGTGGATTGATCTACAGTATATGATTTTATCTATAGACAAATAACCATTTTAAAGCATATGAATTGTTTATCTCTTTATTTAACATAGAATTGTTTATCTCTTTAACATAGAAACAACAGTTTTTTTTC